CACCAACGGCAAGGTCGAGCACGCGACCCATACGGGGCAGTGCCTGGACGTGGACCCGACGGACCCGCACCACAACGTGCAAACGTGGACGTGCATTGCCGGCAACGACAACCAGCGTATCGAGCTCGTGCCGCAGATCTAAGCCAGCTCAGTTGGGGGATACTACTAGTACTTGCACAAGGAAGTGCAATTAAACATACTACAATCAAGAATTGCTATCTGTACTACCTAACCGCACGTCACTAGTATGTGCCCGTGACTGGGCCCGTGCAAATAACGGGTGCGCTCCATGTGTGTCCGGCATTCCCGCTTCAACCGTCATACAGGAGCTCATACTATTATAGTATATTCCGGCCTTGAACCTTTGAACAACCCAGTTGCTTGCGCATCGCCAACGAGTTCACTTTTGATTTTTCCACGTGCGCCTCCCGTGTTGGAGTATGTGATCTCCGGATCTCTGCTCCACGCTCGTAGATAGCGCAACACCCGGTCTTGGTGTGTTGTCGCTCCAAGGTTTTTCATCTCCAGGGGCTACTACAGTAGAGGTTTTTCCCTCGGTTTAGTGGTTTAGTAGCCTAGTCAGTATACTAGTCGTTTAGTCGACTCCGTAGAGGCACGGCAGTGTCTCTCGACTAATAATACGACCAACTTCTGGATTGACTGAATTGTGTGAACTTGATGTCCGGAACGGTCCATGTCGTACTCCACCGTTCGGTCTCCGTGGACCTCCGAGGCGGCGGCCTCGTGTCTCGCTCCTCCTCATGAAAGCACCATAGGAGCACTCATCCTCATTCTCACTCCAACAGCCGACACCATGGTCTCGCTCATCGCGGCGCTCGTCGGTGCTGGTTGCTGCTAACCGTGCGAGTCCGCAGCCGATTAAGATCGGGTATCCCGTACCGATGTACCTCCGCGCCAACAGCTCTGCACCCTGGCGTCACGGGCTCCGCGCGCATCAAGTTGGTCACGTCCCAAAGCACCGTCATCGAGTAGTACGACAAGAGGCAGAGATCTGCAAAGTCGTCCAGTCCGTACGTCTCAAGGGATGTCATATCTCTAGTTATTAATATTATATCCCTTGGTACGTCTGAAGCTGTACGTCGGTGTCCGTCCGTTTTTACGTACACGGACGGACATGGCGAGGCGCCTCTGGATACCGGACGGACATGGACGGACAGAATAAGTTGGGATAAATATCGGACTGGACACGGACGTACACGGCAAAACAAGTGGACAGAAACTTTTGTCCGTACGTTTCGTCCGCAAATGTCCGGAGCGATTTCAGCGTCGAGGACGACCAGGAGGAGCATGGGAGAGGACTGTGGGAGATTCCAACGACTGTGGAAGGGCTCCAATGACTGTCGAATGCCTCTCCAGTCATGACGATGCGGTGACTCGTGGTTGCGTCTTCGGGCGCGGCCGAGTTATTCGCCACTGACTGTCAAGGCGTTTCGGACGTGATTGAGGCAAACGCTTCTTGGTCTGTGTGCATCTTCACACGAGTGGAGGGCGGTATGATGACATGCTGTCAAGCATTTTTGTCAAGAACCGACTTGATGGTTCTGATGCAAACGTCAATGGGAAGGGACTGTACCTGCCGGCACCACGCCAATCTGCACCGACGATTTTTTAGAGAAGGATTAATGCGGTAGCTGCTGCCCACTCGGCCTCGAGAAGATGAGCCTCCAACCTCTCTCGGCAGACGGACGTCTTACACGTCTTGTCTTTTTCGAGCGGCGAGTCGTTCAAACATTCACACTTCCGCAAGGACATCCTACCACTGCTCTCGTGGCTACGCTTGGCCGACGTAGCAGCGGGCATCACTTGGTTACGGGCAGAGGTACATAACCTGGTTACATGCGACAGCTCCAACAAGCGCGGACGTGATGGGCACATCGGGTGCCACTGCTGCAGTTTTCTCGACACCTGCGGGGTTGTGCAGCTGACAGCAACCACTTTTCAGTTGGCGCTACACGTATCGGTATCAGTCTCTCGGCTCCCACCGGCTAGTGCAGCTTCACCGACGTGTGGGCAACGCGATCACGCGGCTCGCCCAAGGCGTATCTCCGAGCAGCATCATTTTTAGCACAACTCGGCTCATGCTTCCCTTTGGGTGCTTCAACTCCAAGTGTGCATCGACGAATGTATCCTCATCGAGCTCGATGTCCCGTCACGGCTCGATGCACCAAGCTCGCGTTAAACATTGACATGCTCGTAACACTGGAACCAAAACGTCGTCAACGAGAAGGCGACCCATCCATGATCCGTCAAGTTTTCGGCGCAAGCGGCCTCGTTTAGAACCTCGAGTTTGGTGTCGTCTCTATGCTCACCGAAAAATTGGCGCGCGTCCATGCATGTTCTCGCTCACAGCCGATCCGCGCCGCGTTTTGTGGAGCGCGGAACTTTTCTCGCGCGCAGCCGCTCACCAAGACCAACACAGCTTTCTACTGGGCGCTCGCTTATTTTATGCTCGCGCAAGCTCCAGTTCCCGGCCCGAGCTGACCTCGACGTACTGGACGCGACCTTTTCGGTGGCGCGCTTCGAGCACGTCCCAACGTACGTCTTTGGCAACTCCTCCCGGTCATCTACTAGTACACGCTAAAGATGGACGCCGCCGTCGTCGGCATAACTCGGCATAGCTCGTCGGCATCGCCACCATTGACCATCGGCACGGTTCATTCGATTCGATTGACGTGGAAGAGGAGGTCTTGTGTGCCAGGGTGAACCAAGCTGACAACACCCGGCTTTCAGGCGAGCAAGGCAACAACGATGCAACGCTGATGACGACACCTCCATGAACACCCGCAAAAGCTTGGGCGTTGATCTCACGGCGTAAGCCAACACGGTTGTTGCCCCCAGAAAGCTCGGTCTTGGTATAGGAACATGACGATCATGAAGTCGGCTGTGGAAGAGGCGACGGCGGTGACGAGCCCGATGCCGGAGCTCAGGACGCCCCCCAACGTGGCTCTCACGCAGGACTCGGTCCTGAATGAGAGTCCAGTGCAGTCCAGCTCGACCAAGATACCAACATGGAGGAATAATCGAGCGCCAAAGGGCGACTGCGACACTGGCGAATGAAATAGAGGCAAACATATCGGAGCATAACGCGTCGTAGCGTTCTGCAGTGCGAGTACGCCGTCCTTTCTACATCGTCACAGAGCCATTTGCGCAACAATTGGCGCGTGCCAGGTTATTGCAATCGCTAGTACCGGTGGAGGAAAGGTGCTGATACGAGGATCTGTCATGGTACTACTAAAGGGCGACTGCGACACTGGCATATGAAATATTAATAGAGGCAAACGTGCCATAATATAGGAGCATACCGCGTCGTAGCGTTCTGCCTGCAGCACGACGTCCTTTCTACCGTATACCTCAAAACAACTCACCTCGCGATTTTACCCCTAACCTCGATTTTCCTCAAAATAACTCACTACAAAATAATCCCAATTTTGGCCCTCACAATAACTCACTATCCAAATTTTCATAATGCACCGTATGGTGTCAAGCGCTGACTCGAAGTCTCAGAATAACACACCACGACATTTGTGAAGCTGGTGTTAACCTTGCCCTAGTCGAGGGTGAGGGGCTGCAAATTGGTGAGCATCGACTCGTACGCGCCAGTCATGTTTAAGCCGTCTAGGTTGGCTTTGAACCGATCTTGGTTGGTCGCCCACGGGTTCATTCCGCACATGTCGTAGGCATCGGCGATCCATCGACGAGTGCGATTGTCCTTGATGATGTCGGCGTAGACCTTCTCGACAAAACCGAAGACGCGGTCGCGTCTGACGCGAAAGAGATCGCCCGGCGTCGCATTGTCCAGGGCGTCGATGCGATGACCTTAGTAAAGCTCGCGGAGTCTAGACTTAATAGGCTTGTTCAGCGCGATGTCGCCGACTTGGTGGATGCTCGTCATGCCTTCACGGATGTACTCGAGGACGGATGTACTCGAGGGAGATATCGCGCTCCTTCACACTCGTATTTGACAAAGACGTCGACGGCTTCGCCAAAGTGAGTCGTCGACCGGTCCACGATGACACGCGGATCGTGTCTTCTGAGGGCTCCTTCTCCCGAGTGCCACAGTGTTGGTGTAGATAGCTCTTGGCAGAGAAAACAAACAGACCCCGGGCCGTGAAGGCGACGGTTTCCACGTCGATACCGAACGCCAAAGTGACGATGCACGTCCACTGTCGACCGCCATGTCCTGTTCTGCGCCAGACCGGCCAGAAACTCATCGAAGTTCTCGGTGTGGACACCGAGTGATGATGGATGCGAGCACAAAGCCCTCGATTTTTACCAGAAGCGAAGTCGAAGAGACGGCCACGGAGCTCCTCGGCAATGGCACAGTTGAGGTTGCGAGATGCCACGATGCTGTGGAAGAGGCAGTTCATCGTCCCAGAGCCATTTGCGCGACAATTGTCGCGTGCCAGGTTATTGCAACGACCCACTAACTCGCCTCCCTGGATTCGCAACTAGTACCGGTAGAGGAGAGGAGCTGTCCGAATACGAGGATGCTGCCATGGCAACCCCATGGCAAGGTTGGGCAAATACTGGATTTCTGTATCAAATACGCATATATAGTTTATTTGACTTATATAAGAATTATAAATGGTATATAATACCATGACGTGGCAGGCTGTCCACGCAAGCTGCCAAAGAAATATAATGTTTAGAGAGTAAATATTAATTGTCGGGGGTGGCGGAGGATAAGGGTGCGCAAAGCGATAGAATCACCCACCGCACCGTACCCGACTGCATTTACTCACCCTACATGACCATGTAGAGGCACCTAGCCTATTTTACTCAGCCTACATGGCCATGTAGAAGGCCAAGCAGCAAAGCACGCAGAGTATATACTGGATTTGTAATTTCACGCGAAGTATATATACGCATATATACGCATATCCATATTACAATAAAAAGATATTTGCTAAATAAACAACCTTGCCCATGGCACCCATGTATCTGTTACAAAAGCCTGGGCAAAACCTCGGGGGGCCTTGGGGTCGGAGGGCCTACCCTAGGGTCCCAAAGAGCTCTGAGGGTGGGGGTCTGGGCCTATCCTGACCCTACCCTAGGCTGGCGCATGACCCCCGGGACACTTCCAGAGCATTGTACGCTGCTGTGTTGGAGACAAAACGTTGG